TGCACATGGTCGAACCATATCAATCATGTTAGCATGTTTGTATGTACACAAATAGAGTTGATGTTGGTGGAGAGAGAGAGAGAGAGAGAGAGAGAGAGAGAGAGAGAGAGAGAGAGTGGAAAGGGGGGGGATGGGGGATGATGGTGGTGATGATAATAAGTTATATGTCTATAATGATTTAGAAAATTATAAACTGAAAATAATAAGATAGCACTTCCACTTATCTCAAAGTAATAACTTGCTTATCCTCGGGCAATATTTGATCACGAAGATTACACCAGTGTCTCAAAAGCCGGGATTAAATTTTCTTTAATATATTATATTCAGAAGTGTCTTCAGACATTCTTGTGTATTCATGAAATCTAGAGGAGTCCTTTTTCAATTCACAAAAAGTTGGTGGTATTCACCAAATTGCCGTTTTTCTCTATTTATTGGGTGTACATTATGTACTCCTGTCTTCTTCACAGGCCTCAACAATAACGAACTGTCCAGTAGCATAAATCCATCTCCAGACGACATAATGTTCGCTAGGTAATATAAAAATCTTGTTCACGTTTGCCCCTGAGTCTCTGATCATGCTGAGAGGCAGGTTTCAAGTCGTCACTTGGGCCACTTGTCATACCATATCTGCTTTGCAGGTTACAAGTCGTTTGTAGCGGGTAAACCAGCGCAGAATGCATGCTGCACTACGGCCGCACCCTAATAATGCAGACTAAACCATTCAGTGGTCACTGTGAGTCTGCTCTAGTTAGTGCCATTTCCCCGACCTCCGTAGTTTCATAGTTGTGTCTCACTGTTGGTGTCCGGTTGTTAATCTTTATTTCTGTTTGTTATCTTGTTTAGCGAAGTCTATTTACTTTCGGTCGGTCTTTTGGGGCCTTGCCTGAAAGGTCTAAACACCAGAACTGATCCCATTTTGTGGAGGTTTCTGGGGGAAGGCTGAGGTCTCTGCCATTTGTTTCAAAGGTTACTGATGGGCTCGAGACATTGATACAAATGAATGCCTTTGGAAGTGATAGTCCGAAGGAACTACACGACCTTACTGAAGTATTTATGGAATTATTATGTCTGCAACTGTAAGAAAAAGTACTATTTTGTTCTTCTTTTAATTCTACATTGTAATACATTGACATCATATATTGCTCTTTAACAATGACGGCGGAGGGCACGATAAGTATAGACCCTCTCGCAAGTTTCGACAGTACCAAATACTCACCTTGATCTAGCGAAGTATATGTGTGTCTTCTTACATCTTTTGAATACCATGTCAACCAATGCCCACAAATACTCACATCTATACACTCTAATTTCTTTTAAAATTACTAATACTGCGTCCAATAAATGCTTGGCTGTAATTTACACTGAATCGCCTTTTACTACCAATTTTTCTTTTTAACATATTTGCTCTTGGTGCAGTCTGTAAAATTATTCTGGCAAATCCCAATTGAGGCTTTGAGTAAAGTCTTTGCTCACATACAGAGAGCATAATATCATATTGAGTTGGGCATGACTTCTGAAGTTTGGAAAGCCAGGAGGATTTGACAGTCATTAAGGGTCAAATAAAGACGAAATGTATTCATGCCCAATTACACAATCCTAGCATAATACGCCTTTGTAGGCATTTCCGGGCAAAGCTTCTGGATATAGATGTACTTCAGAACAATAAATGAAAAAAAAAGTGCTAATAAACCAACAGTTTACACTTATTGGTCCCAAATTTGGGTCTTTGCAAGGTTTTCTCACCGAAATGTTGACCAGTCCCTGCTGCTGGGGTCATGAAAAACAGTACATCTTTTAATCCTTATACACAATGAAATCAAGAAGATTAAGGGTGAGTGAATGAACAGTACATACGCTATTGCGTGGCAAGTTGCGTTTTATAACCGATACTTGCCCTTGTATACATTTATGGTTATTTGTACAAGTTTTCCTTTGTTGAATTTATACTCATTTGCAGTTTATGGCGAAAGGCCCCTGATTTTCTAGAATAAGGCAAAGTCTGATCGTCCAACTAAATCCCCTTGTAACTACAAAATGAGATCAAATCAATAACAATGCTATGCATGTCTTCAGTGAAATTGTAAAGAATGTGTGAGAAAAATCATGTTGACTTTTCAAAACAATAAAGTTTCTATGTTCACACTGGCTCCTGCTGTCCATGGTAAAAAGATCGTTACGGCACCTCAGAATTACAAAGTTCTTCCTGCTCATTACCTAGTTTTGAGAAATTTTACGTTAAAAATTGTGAGTTTCACA